GCGAGGGGCGTCACACGGGCGGTGTTGCGCGGGGGGCGGTGCGTTGCGGGTGCGGGGCGGTGCGGGGGGCGGCGTGCGGAGCATCGCGAGGGGCGTCACACGGGCGGTGTTGCGCGGGGGGCGGTGCGTTGCGGGTGCGGGGCGGTGCGGGGGGCGGCGTGCGGAGCATCGCGAGGGGCGTCACACGGGCGGTGTTGCGCGGGGGGCGGTGTGCGGGGGGCGGTGTGCGGGGCGGATCGAGGGGCAGTGCACGGCGGGCAGTGTGGGGTGGGCAGTGCGCGGGGGGCGGTGCGGAGGGCGTTGCGGTGGGCAGTGCAGGGTGGGCAGTGCCAGGGGGCGGTGCGGGAGGGGCGGTGCAGGGTGGGCAGTGCAGGGTGAGCGGTGCCAGGGGGCGGTGCGGGGTGGGCAGTGCCAGCGGGAGGTGCGGGAGGGGCGGTGCAGGGTGAGCGGTACCCGAGGGGCGGTGCGGGAGGGGCGGGTCGCTGCGGGCCCGGGGCGGTGCCGCTGCCGCGGCCGCTGCCGGCGGCTCCGCGTGGGTGGCGGCGGCGGCGGCGGCGCCGAGCGGAGGCTCCGCGGGGCCGGGCCGGGCTGCGGGGGCTCGGCGGGGCTTTGCGGGGGGCGCGGAGCATGTCGGCGCTGCGGCGCAAGCTGGGGGACGACTACCAGGTGGTGAGCACCTCGGCCAGCGGAGCGGGGCTGCCGCCCCCCAGGGCCGCCCCCCGCGGGAAGCGCCAGCGCTTCGTGGACAAGAACGGCCGCTGCAACGTCCAGCACGGCAACCTGGGCGGCGAGACCAGCCGCTACCTGTCCGACCTCTTCACCACCCTCGTGGACCTCAAGTGGCGCTGGAACCTCTTCATCTTCATCCTCACCTACACGGTGGCCTGGCTCTTCATGGCCTCCATGTGGTGGGTCATCGCCTACATGCGGGGCGACCTCAACAAGGCGCACGACGACAGCTACACCCCCTGCGTGGCCAACGTGTACAACTTCCCCTCCGCCTTCCTCTTCTTCATCGAGACCGAGGCCACCATCGGCTACGGCTACCGTTACATCACCGACAAGTGCCCCGAGGGCATCATCCTCTTCCTCTTCCAGTCCATCCTGGGCTCCATCGTGGACGCCTTCCTCATCGGCTGCATGTTCATCAAGATGTCCCAGCCCAAGAAGAGGGCCGAGACGCTGATGTTCAGCGAGCACGCCGCCATCTCCATGCGGGACGGGAAGCTCACCCTCATGTTCCGCGTGGGAAACCTCCGCAACAGCCACATGGTCTCGGCACAGATCCGCTGCAAGCTGCTCAAGGTGAGGGACGCGGCCCCGGGGCGCGCAGGGAAGGGTTGGGTATTAGGGAAAATTCCTTCATGGGAAGGGTTGTCCTGCCCAGGGAGTCCCAGCTGGAGTCCCCGTCCCTGGAGGGATTTCCAAGCCGTGCGGATGCGGCACTTGGGGACATGGGTCAGCGGTGGCTTTGGCAGTGCTGGGGGATGGTTGGACTTGATGGTCTTAGAGGGCTTTTCCAGCCTTAATGATTCTGTGAAAGAGCTGTGGCCCCGTGGCCCCGCTACTGGTCCCTTGGGGACATCCCACCACCTCATCCCACCACCCCCTCCGTGTCCCAGAGCTGCTGGAGCCTCTGTGCTCCCTCTGTGCCATCTGTGCCATCCCTCCCTCCTGCCAGGGCTGCCCCCTTGTCCCTGGGTTGGGAGCAACCTGGTCTAGTGGAAGGTGGCCCTGCCCAGGGCCAAGATTTGGAACTAGATGATCTTAGATCATTTTTGGGTCCTTCTGCTGCTATCCCAGCCTTCCCATCCTGGAAGCAGGGACCACCTCCGAGAGCCTCAGGCTGCGGGCTGAGCCACCAGGAGTCTCAACTTCCTTGGAGATAATTCTGCTCTTCAGCGCAGGATTTAAATGCATATTTATAGATTCCTATAAAACGCTCCCTTTCCCTGACAAGTAAATCCTTTGTAGCTCAAATTCCTGGGCGAGCCGGTGAGGAGAAAGCGCTCTGCCTTCCGGGCGTAATCCTGAGCTTTTGGGTAACCCCGAGCCCAGCCAGGCGGAACTTTTGTTTCTGCGGAGCGTGAACTCCGTGGGAAGCTCAGTGCCGGGGTTAGACGTGGAAAACCCTGCCAGTGGCCCTGGAAAAATCGAGTGTTTGTTTGAGCGTCGCTCCAGCGGCCGCGGATCCATCTGATCCATAGGGGAGAGGGCGGCAGGATGGAGGGGGTGGAAGGGGCCGGCTCGGGTGACGTTTGCCGCAGGCAGAGCATCCCGTGGGGTGCCCCGGCCCTCAGGTGGGTGCTGGGCAGGGAATGTGGGTGTCCTGGTAGGCATACGGGTGCCCTGCCCTCAGGTGGGTGCTGTGCAGGGAATGTGGGTGTCCTGGCAGGGATACGGGCGCCCTGCCCTCGGGATGGGTGCTGGGAAGGGAATGTCGGTGCCCTGCCCTCGGGTGGATGCTCTGCCCTCGGGGTGGGTGTCCTGCAGGGAATGTGGGTATCCTGCCCTCGGGGTGGGTGCTGGGAAGGGAATGTGGGGTGCTTTGCAGGGAATGTGGGTGCCCTGCCCTCGGGGTGGGTGTCCTGCCCTCTGATGGATGCTGGGCAGGGATTGTGGGTGCTCCCCCCGGGATGTGGGTGCTCCCCCCGGGATGTGGGTGCTCTCCCCGGGGTGTGGGTGCTCTCCTCGGGGTGTGGGTGCTCCCCCCGGGGTGTGGGTGCTCTCCCCGGGGTGTGGGTGCTCTCCCCGGGATGTGGGTGCTCTCCCCGGGATGTGGGTGCTCCCCCCGGGATGTGGGTGCTCTCCCAGGGATGTGGGTGCCATGCAGGGCTGGGCAGGGTCCCCCTGCCCGGGGTGATCCCCCTTGGATCCCCCCACCTCTCTCCCCTCTGCCCTGGCAGCAGAAGCTCATCCCCCATCGGAGGCTCCTGAAGTTTTGCCCCAAAAGTCCTGTTTTGCCCCAAATCCATGTTTCCAGTGGGATTTGGCAGTCAGGATGTCAGGGCTGGGGGTTGCAGAACCCCCCCCAGAGCCCCTAAATCCTGTGCCCGAAGGAGGGGGAGAGCTCCTAAAGAACCCCCAAAACAGCCCTGTAATGGCTTTAACACTGTGAAATATCACATCAAAGATGTATAAATATATAGAAAATAACATTACAGCATAATATCATTTATTTATATAACATAAAAACATACCTTTAATCTATATTTAATAATATTGATGTGTTTTACACCATATATTTAACAATATTTAATAGTGATGTGTAAATATGCATTTATATAATATATAAATATAATAAGGAGCATCCAGCAGTGCCCTTTGCTGCCGAGCTGAGGGGCTCTCCCTAAATATAGTTTAACTCTTATATAGAGAGCCATTTGATATATAATATTATATATGTAATAGAACTATTAAAGCTCTTTAGGAGCTTTAAAGCTTTTCAAAATATATTTAAAGATATTAAAGAGCAAGAACGAGTCATGTCCATTACAAGATTTGAAAATGGCCCTTTTTTCGTGTGTCTTGAAGTGCCTCAGGAGGAATTTGAAAAGTTGGAGCTTAAAACTTAGTGTGGCTCCAAAAAAATTCCCTGGGTTTGAAATGTGAATGAGCAGGTTCAGAGGAATCGACTCTGGGTGTGGGAGCAGCTGGGAATGGGGAGGGAGAAGGGAATAAAGGGTAAAATGTGGCTTTTCCAGGGATACAGGTGGAGCTGGCTCTGCATATTCCCTATAAAATATCCATGCATGGAGCTTTCCTTGGCTGGGAGGGAGAAAGCAGTGCTTGGCCAGCCTTCCTGGGGGGAAAAAGGGAAAAACAGAAAAGGAACAAAAAAGGAAATAAATAAAAGGAAAAAAGGAAAATAAAGGGGGGAAAAAAGGGAAATAAGGAAAAGGGGGGGAAAGGGAAAACAAAAGGGAGAAAGGGAAAAAAAATAAA